CACTTCCTGCCCCCTTGGGGCTTGTCCCCCCCCCCACAGCGGGAAGCCAGCTCTGGCGCATCAACCTCACATGGGGGTGCAGGGCTGGCGCGCCAGTGCAGGCTCCTTGCCACGGGCTGGGGTGCTGAATCCCGAGCCCGCTGCCCACCTGCAAGACAGTCGTCCGTAGACCACACTCCGAGAACCGCTGCCTCGGAGGATTAACTCTGAGGAAGCCCACCTGAGCCACGCCAGTGGGGACAGGCCCACACTGTACTTACTCACAAATTTCCTTTTGGCAAACAAGGTTTCTTGGGAGCCCTCGAGCACGTAGATGTGCAGGGTGTATTCCTTCGTGGGGCTCAGCCCCCCCACCGTCGCTTTGGGCGTTTTGGTTTTGAGCATGACTTCCTGTTCCGAGTCACCTGGACGGGGGGTTGTGGGAGGAGACATAAACCAGGCACCTTTGAAGAGAAGCTTGATGAAGGATGTGACAGAGCTGGGACCACGGGTCTCAACCCCAGGACATGGGCCAGCTGAGCTCTTGCAAACTCCTTCGGCCTAGTGGTGGAACATAGGCCATGCAGCACCTATCTATCAGCCGAAGGTACTTCCCCTGCCTCCTGTAGTGAGCATCTGTGATGCACAACAACCTCACAATGCCCCCAGCCGGTCAGGCCGCGCTGTGATCTCAAATGTTCAAAACTGACATCTAATGTGAGAGTCCAGGTTTGTGCACTTTGGGGGAGCTCGTCAGAGCAGCTGAGCATCACACAAGTCAGGAATGTTTTAATTAGCTGATTTCCCATCGAAAAATATATTTCCCATCCAAAATATCCCGGGGAAAGAATCGGTTTTGATTCATTTCTCTGCTCAGTTCCCACAGGAGTAGAAGTTTGACATAGCACCAACCGGTGGAGCTGAGTTAGGACAGACAAAGTGGAGCACATTGAGCTGCTGGGGGTCACAAACTGGGGTTCAGAATGGCTAGTGCCAGGGGCAGACTGCGGCATGGGCTCAGGAGCTAGTGGGGTGACCGTATTGAGCCAGGAGCTGACTAGGAGTGGGGGGGAAAGTTTCAGGATTGTTAGAACTTCTTGGCTTGATATTTTCTACACAAAAAATTCCAGTGTCCCTGTTTGAAAAGCCTTTTCGCTTTGAAACCTGAACTAATTATAGTTTAAAAAAAAACCCAATAAAACAAAAAAAAATGGTTGAAACAGTTTTTGGTTTTGTTTTGGCTCATGAAAATGTGAGATTTCAGTTGTTCTTCCTGATCATGATGGGGAAACATTTTGGGAAAAGAAAAGCACAGAAATATTTTCCTGGCACAAGAAAACCATTTCCTGAACACCTCTCCTGGAGCACCGCCTCCTCTCCTCGGCTTCTTAGGGAGCTTTGGGTGTCTGGCACCTCTGTAAATTAGGACTTGGATGTCTACAATTTGGACTCTCAAAACAAGGGGCCACCTTTGAACGTTTATGCCCAAGAGACTTTGCCACGGGCACACAAGGAGTCTATGGCCAAGCAGCAACTGAACCTAGATCTTCCAGGTCCATTGGTGGTACCCTAACCACTGGGTCATCTCTCGTCTCTCTCTGCCCCTTTCACTTATTTCTCTCTGGTTGTTTCAGTTCCTCTATGCAGACAGGCCACGTCTGGAAGTAGCACCTCCCATCAGCAGGGCTGGCTTAGGTTTCACAGAGCGTGGGCCCAAACCTCACAGTCCCTCAGAGCACATGCTTAGCTGCTGCACACACAGAGATGCCCTTGACTGGGATGGGGATGGTTGCTTAATTACTAGCATAAGAACATCAGATAGGCCGTACTGGGTCAGACCAAAGGTCCATTTACCCCAGTATCCTGTCTGCCGACAGTGGCCAACACCAGGGGCCCCAGAGGGGGTGGACCAAAGACAATGATCAAGCGATTTGTCTCCTGCCATCCTTCTCCAGCCTCTGACAAACAGAGGCCAGGGACACCATTTTTATCCCCTGGCTAATAGCCTTTTATGGACTAACCTCCATGAAATTATCTAGCTTCTCTTTAAACTCTGTTATAGTCCTCGCCTTCACAGCCTCCTCTGGCAAGGAGTGCCACAGGTTGACTACACGCTGTGTGAAGAAGAACTTTCTTTTATTAGTTTTAAATCTGCTACCCATTAATTTCATTTGGTGTCCTCTAGTTCTTCTATTATGGGAACTAATAAATAACTTTTCTTTATCCGCCCTCTCCACACCACTCATGATTTCATACACCTCTATCATATCCCCCCTCAGTCTCCTCTTTTCTAAACTGAAAAGTCCCAGTCGCTTTAACCTCTCTTCATATGGGACCTGTTCCAAACCCCTAATCATTTTAGTTGCCCTTTTCTGAACCCTTTCCAAGGCCAAAATATCTTTTTTGAGGTGAGGAGCCCACATCTGTACACAGTATTCAAGATGTGGGCGTACCATAATTTTATACAGGGGCAGTAAGCATCCTGGAAAAAAGCCAATGGACAAACCTCGCTGGCTCTCTGCCCCGCTAGCTGGTGACACGGCTGTCCAGGAGAGGTCTGACAGATCACATAGTCCCCGGCAGCTCTGTTACGGTCATGTGTCTGGCAGCGGCGCAATTGCTCCTGGAGTCGTCAGTCGGGGGTGGTACATAGGAATTTTGGCTGCCCAGGGCAGCTTCCTAGGAGGCTGAGGGCCCCACCACATCAGTCCAAGGCAGGAGCTGCTGGGTGGAGCGGAGCCGTGAGGTTGCTAAGGGCTTTGTATCCGAGGCGGCGTTCCTCCGGGGTTTCAGGCCCGGTCCTTCTTCGGCTTACTGCAGGAATGTGTGAGTTAAAGCAACGCAACCTGCTATGCTGGGGAACTCTGTCCCAACCACCATAACCCACCTCGGCTGGCACCCCAGGAGGTCTGAGGCTCCTGGAAAGATCTCAGACCGCAATTCAAATAAGCCTGAGGGGGAAGAGAGGAAGGAGTCTCCTGACGCCGACCCCAACCCACGCTCGCTTCAGCGGTAATGTGACATCTCTGGTGAGGCGGATGGAGTGGAGTTTGTTGTCACAGAGCCAAGAGGAAGAGAGACATTGAGAGGAGACAACTGTGCCCAGGACTGCTACACTGACAGGTTCAGCCGCCTGAAACAACCATGACTGGCAGGTTTCTGACCCCCGAGCTTCCGAACTGACGTCTTCTTTACCGTCTGGAAACCAGCCTTCAAATCTGAGCACCAGGAAAGCCACTGGAGCTAGAAGCTGGGTTGGTAAAAGCCCATCCAACAAGAGGTGTGTTTGCTCGCGCCCCTCACTGGTAGCTCCCTTCCTCTGCCTTACTGCCAGGGACCGTGACACAGCCAGGATACACCACTGAAACTCAGCAAATGTGCTCCACTAAAATCTCCCAGCTAAGAGAGCATGTTGCCCATGTAGGCGCCTCAGCTCTGGAACTGGCTCCGCAGTCTAGTCTTCTACAGTCTAGAAATTCTACAAAATCTACCCCCCAACCAATGTTCCCTCTCATTTTTTCCCCATCCACGTGCAGAATAAATTTTGTTACATGCACTATATCATGTGCAGCTGTGCACCACCAATAGAAACACGTGCTGCTGGCTGTGGGTGCACTGCTAATCATCTGGCAGCATTTGACTGTCTCCTGGGTGGCCACCCATGCACTCGGCTTACAGGGAACACTGCCCTACCCCCTACCCAAAGGGGCAGAAGAATTCAGATGGATTTCTGTCTGTTGGAGGAGGGAGTTTATAGTCTGAATGTGAGTGGTGAGCACTCTTGTGGGTTTTTGTGAATTTACTATTACTTTAGCGGACTTAATTCCTGTAAAATGTTCAAGGCTGCAGAGGGAGGTGCCCTGCAAATCACAATGCGAAAAGCTAAGGCATCGGGCATGGCACTGTCAGAGCACAAAGTGGTGTCAAAGTGGGTGTTGTTCCAGGGATGACAAAATCAGCCCAGGCCAACACGTGTGCTGTCACCTGGAGGGGGCTGGGAGATCCCCTGGCATGAGACACAAACTCTTGCCAGTCACTCAGGGACTGTATTTATATGCAGAAGCGGAGTCAAGACGTCAGGAACAGGGAAAAGGGGCCTGGTAGAGGAGCTCTCCCACCACTTTGGCCAGACGAGGTAGAAACACAGATCAGACTGTGTGCACAAGCCAAGGGGCTGTGGGCAAACAATGCTCTAGACCAGTGGTCCCCAACCTTTTGGGGCTGCCGGGTGCCCAGGAGCAGGGCTGCTTATGCGCCGCACATTTGGGGGCGGGGCCACTCACACGCCGCGCATCCGGGGGCGGGGCCGCGCTGGGGACCACTGCTGTAGACCATCCCCTGAGGGAATGCACAAGCTGTAAATCTGGACAGAAGGCACAAGATAAAACACAGACACGCCACGGAGCTTCGAAGACCCCTGGAGAAAAAGCAGCAGACTTAAAAGTACAAGAGTCCCGGGGTGCCTAAGGGAGTTAGGAGCTTTGCTTTCCTGGGCTTTGAGTGGAAGTTGATTCCCAGGCTTCTTGAGGTGGCTTTAGAAATCCGAGCCAGAAATGCTGCTGTTTCAGCAGCCCTGAGAGGAGTTGGGAAGGGCGCAAGGAGTTTCTATTACCCCTAATGGGTAAAGATTATTCAGACCATCACAGCCAGCAGCAGCACCCCTTTCCCCCTCCAGGACAGCAGCTCTAACATGGAGCTGACTGACAAACCCACATTCCCTTGCCCCCGCATGAGCTGAAAGTTGGGCTCAGCCAGCTCCTGCCACCTTGCAGCCCCATGCCCAGATCCCAGCAAAACCCCACTGCCATGGGCTTCACTTGGACCTTGTATCCGTCGGTGTTCCCTTCCGTTTCTCTCCATTTCATCTGCAGCCTGTCTTCCGAGAGGACGGCCAGTTTCAACCGGCTTGGCCCTGGAGGAAAAGCAGAAACATCACTCATGCTAAGTAGAGCGGTGCCTGTGGGCAGGCAGTGCATCATCCACACGTACCTGTCTGCCTTGCAAACGGACCTGGCAGTCCACGGTCTCAAACTTCCAGCCTGTCCAGCTGGAGTGATTGCACAGTCTGGCCTGGGATCACAAAGGGACAGGGAGGGGCTTATCCATTACCAGCCTCTAAGCTCCGCCCCTTCCCGCCATTGCCCCGCCCTCTCCCCAAGGCACCCCATCCCCCGAGCACATGGCTTGGTATCATTAGTGGGGCCTGGCGATACAGGGCAGCAGCGGTGGCGCCCCCCCTCCCCCACGTTCCCCACGGTTTCTGCCACTGTACGGAAGTGAAGAGCAGCAGAGCAAGCACCCCCCCACCTCAGTGCACTCTGCTTCCCCCATGGCTCCTGCTGCCATGAAGAGGGCGAGGGAGCAAACGCTGCCACCATGGGGCGCACCAAACTCCCCTGGTTTGGTGCTTGGGGGATGGGATGCCATGGGGGAGAGGGTGGGGCAATGTTGGGAAGGGGCAGGACTTGGGGACCAGTAACAGACAGTTCCCCTTCCCCGGCCCACTGACAGTCCCAGGCTGGATTCTCCATTAGATGAGAGGGAGGAAAACCTGCCTACACAGAACCTACTGCTCAAAACCATGGACTGAACCCGGGGTGAGCCCTTTATTTACTCCATGATTTCGAGGAGTAAGTTCCATGTTCCCCCTTTTCCTCCCTCCCGTCTATTTATTTATTTATTTATTTCAAAATTTGTACCCCGCCTCTCTCTCTAAAATATTCGAGGCGGCTTACAGCAATTTTAAACCCAATGCAAATATATATAAACATTTTAAATACGAGACCCCGGAGGGACACAAAACCTGCTAAAAACAATGGAGTCTAAAGGAGACTCTCCCTCCGCTTGTCATGGCTTGGACCAGCCAGGGCTTTCAAAGGTTTATCAGAACCAGCCAAAGGGTTTGCAACTTGCGGAGCAAGACACCCTTCTTCTGTTGTCGCTGGCAAGCCGAAAAGCTCAAGTAACAAGGGGGGAGGATAGCCACGTAGATGGGTAGATGGTAAAAGCAGCAGAGACCAGAGCAGTTCCAAGGGCTTTTGTACTAGTTGGCCTGTGACACTATAGCATAATGGCTGCATTGAGAGCAAGGAGCGTCATTCCCAGCCTGAGGGGACATACCCTGATCAAACGAATGCACTAAAAACAGAGCTCAGCCACGGTGGCGGGCGGGGCGAACAGCTCCTAGTGCTCAGCTAGGGTCTCGAGGCGGCTAACGCTGTCAGCGCTAGCGTGGGTGCGTCTCCTTGGGCTGCGAATTACACCCCAAACACCTCGGGATTCGGAATTCATCGACGTGGGGTTGCCATGAACAAGGCAAAAGCTACCCAAAGAGGCCCCCGTCAGATGTGGGCTGGCAAGGAGTAACAAACCCAGAGATTCTGTGCGCCACGATTCTGCAGCGAGAGAGTTTTCCGGCAGTTCGGAGGCCAGATGTGAAAAAAATACAAACCCGACCAAGGGTAAATAACAGCCCCTGACAGGACTGAGAACTGCGGAGGCAACAGGCTCCAGCCTGGATCAGGCCCAAAGCCTCCTGCTGCTGCAGGGAGGCAGCAAACAACCAACAATGCAGAAGAAAGAGAACAGCAGGCAGAAGCAGATTTACAGTGTCTTGTGGCCCTGAGTGTTATGACCAGGGTGTGGGCAATCAGGCCTAGCGGTTTCTGCAACCTGGTTTCCTGGACACCCACTCGCCTCAAAATTCCATTTCGGAGAGGTCCTTTATCTTCCAGGTAGCTCCCTGCACTCAGGTTTCTCTTAAATGCTGATGATTCTTAGCTGCAACATAGCTACAAAATACCTCCGCGTGATTGGCTGGAGAGTGTAAACCCGGCAGATGTATAGTCCTCTGCCAGAATAGCACATATACATTAAAAGCCAACTTTTCAGTAGGTTTCCCCACGTGCCCCCACGAAATTCAACATGGGTGTGTGGCCTTCAAAAGCCTTTTCAAAACCATGCAGCAAAAATACACATGCAAACTGGTAATGAAGACTGCAAATGGCAAGGTGTCTTTGTGCACACAAGTGTAGTACCCGAATGCAAAAATTAGGAATGCAGTTACATGTGCACAGTTTAAAAAGCTGCATTTGCACGTTTAAAAAGGGCAAGTGAATTCCCATATACGGAGCCAAGCATAGAATTAGTAGTTGCATTGGCCAGTAAGGCTATGTCTACACGGCAGCGTTATTTCAAAATAACATAGTCCACATCTACACAGCCGGCAGTTATTTTGACATATGTCGAAATACTGTCAAGCTGGAGGACTTCTTATTCCAACTCCTGTAACCCTCATTGTATGAGGAGTAAGGGAAGTTGAAGGAAGAGTGCTCCATTTCGAAATAAATGTTGTGTAGACAGCACCAACACTCGAAAAAAGCGATTTTGAAATAAGCTACCCAATTGATGTAGCTCAATTTGCATAGTTAATTTCGAGTAAAGCCCTGTTGTGTAGTGCGCCCTGGTTTGCAAATACATATGAGTGCCCTTGCACATTTCAGAAATGCAGATAAGGAGACTCCCCCCTTAAAATGTAGGCATTAAAAGGCAACAAGGAACATTCTTGAGAAGCAAAACACAGCCTGGACAGACCATCAAAGCTGAGAAGTTTGACAATTCCTTAGAAAACCATTTCAGAACCTTTTCCCCCTCCCTTCCTTTGGGTTTAATGATAGCAGACTTAGAAATACCCCGAGGTTCTGTGCTCAGAACTGATCAGCTGGACTTGTAGGGATCAGCCTGCCATCGCATGCACTATCTTGAGTGGCGACTTTGATCGAACACATCTCCCACTCAGATGCCTCCAGCTCTCTTCTCTTGAGTCATCACGATCCAAGACGTAGAGCAGAAATTAGCAACAGTTCAGGCAGTGAGGGCTGATGTGTTTCAGTCCATCATCTGCACCTTAACCTTTGGGTCCAGACACTTCCGGGAAACATCTCTGCAAGCAGACAACTATTTCGGGCAAACAAGGCTCAGATTCACATGGTGGCCAGGCGAAAACAAAACGGAGGCAATGAAAAGTCTTTCTTCCTTCCCCCACCCCTCTCTGCGCCCGGTCTTTTAAAAAGCTGGGGCAGAGAGCGTCGGAGGGACCAGAGCAGAAACGGGGAATGGGAATGGAACAATGACGGATTCATAGTGATGAAACAGGGAGCTGTCTTTGGCTGGACACGTGCTGCCCAGCTTTTCAGCCCTAACTCTAGCTACAAAGGCCAGAGCATGCACAGATGAACATAAGAAGGACAAGACTCTCCAAAGAGCTGTTATACTCTGGATGCAAATGAGCTGCAGCTCCTGGGAAGCCCAGCTGTCTGCCTACCCTGGAGAAGATTTGCACTCTTTCATATCGTAACCTCGCTCCCCAATGGATGTGGAGTGACGGCCAGGCTCTCAATGAAAGCCTTGGGTGATCTCATGTCGAAGGGGTACGCAGCATGGATAACGTCCCTTCAAATCCAGACACTCGCCTTTCAAGAAACCCAAGAACAAGCCATTTACCAAGGAGGTTCTGAACACAGGAGAACCAGCATGGACCTGCTGCTGAGCAAATGAGCAAAGGAGCCACACGGGAGATTTCCAGGCTCCCTGCATGTCAAAGAGCACAGTTCACAGCCTTATAGACAGGGGCTGGAGGACAGCTCCAGGGCAGGATGGCAAGTGACTAAGCAACCTCTTAGATCCACTGGTCTAATCCCACTGCCACCTAAATCCTGACTTCCTATCAGACCCCTGTGGGCATCAGAGCTGATGTTTGGTGGAGGTGGACTAAGCAAATGCATAGGGCCCTGAGCGGCTCAAGGTGGCTCCCTGTTAATTATTAGAGCCCCCAGGGTGGGTGGGTGTACGCTGCAGTGAGTCTCCCTGCCCGGGGAACCTGACTCATGCTAAGGGGGCTTCTCCTAGAATGCTCAAAGTAACACTGTGGATTTCGTGACTTGCGCTGCAGCTTGGAATCTCAAGCTCGCCCGACCCTGATCAAACCGCAACGTTCACACCCGTAGCGTAGTTCAGGGTAAACACCCTCCGCGTCTCACATGAGGAAGGAGGCAGCATTCGCTCCCCACGCCTACACTCACCTGTGACGAACAAACGGTGGCAGTGGCGTGGGATACAGGAGGGGCCGCAAATGCATTTCTGGGTTTCATCTCTGATGTCACCCCAGCTGCAGAGCAGACCTAGCCTGTGTCATTTTCCTACTTGCAACTTGTTTACACTGTCAATTATGCAGGGACTAGAGTGTGGAATGTGGGTAACACTAGGCTCCCTGAATGCCCAATGCAATCCACCAACTGTTAGGGAAGTTCCACTATAAATAGGGGTAAAGGTGCCCGACTGTCCGGTACGAGTGATCGGTCTCATGCTGCCCTGCTATTTGTCTGACACAAGGAAAGAAAGAAAACCAGCAGTGACTATCAGTGCAGGACTCCATAAGCTTAGCAGGCCCTTCCAATAGCAGCATTTATGTCACTGAGAAGCGCTACCAGTATATCACTCTCACTGTCTTGCGCATCAGCCTCCCTGTTTATTGCTTACAGACACAAGGACCATAAATATTAACAGTGTCTGTCAGAGACAACAGGGACAGTTGATAAAGGTGGTGGTAATCATCGCTTCTCTTCCAACACACAGCTACCGCTCTACTACTATTTAGCTAGATCTGTTTGACGTGCTCCTGTATTGCTATTAGCCCTCAAATCTGCAGTTTTGTTTGATAATATGGCCTGTTTTCTCAGAGTTTGTCCTGGTCTCCTGTGTAGTGGAAACTTGGTTTCATCCCTCTCCTCTGCACCCGCCTTTTCTTCTTCAAAACTCTCCTCTTTACAAATAAAAATAAAGGAGATAATTTGTGTAACCACCAGGCCTGCAAGCTGTTAAAAGTCACTGGTAGTTTCCTCGGCTCATTCTTCAGTCACAATGCCACAGGAACTTCAGGAGCAATTCTACAGTCCAGAACAGACCATCTCTATCTCCCGTACATGGGCTGGCTCTACAGTGCTAACAGCAGAAGGGATTATTTCCATCCACAAAGGAAGAGGATCCATAACTTTTTGAACTCACTTTTCTGACCATAACAGCACTTGAACACTTCCCCTCACTGCCTGAATCACCCTCCGCCAGTTACCTGCATGATCATCTGCCCAACACACAGCAAGGTTATCCCAGAGAATTAGGAAAGCACCAGGGGACTTGGAGATCCATGCTAGGAAAATAAGTGCTCTATGTGGAGTTATCCCAGATGTGTCCACGCTACCGGTAATTCCGCTAACCTTTCTTGTGGCACTGAGTCAGCTCAGGCCTAAACAACCCAACAGTGTTGAAAATATGGAAGGGTGCAGAGATCCTTCATTAATGGCTGTCTCTTGGGAACCAGCCTGACTCTAATGCAGGACTCCTGGGTGTGTCGCCTGAATCCAGCTGGTCCCCAGGTGCCTTCAGACAATGGAGACTCTTAGCCAGTTAGTGCTTGTCCCTGGAAGATGGGAGGTTCTGTGATTGTATAAGTCAGAGGTGGTTCAAAGTCTAAATCAGGGATTCCCAAACTTAGGGTCATGACTCAGTACTGGGTCACAGGATGTGGGGCACTGGGTCAGCAGCCAGAGCTCTGTGGGGAGGCTCTAAAACAGGGACGGGGATCCTTTTGGGGGCTGGGGGGTGCTAGCCCACAGAAAAATCAGTCGGGGGCCGCACATAAGTGAGAAGCACCCGCCCCATCCAAAATAACTAACCCTCATTGACATGTCCCCCCCACTAAGACGGAGAAAGACACTCCCCACATTCCCATCACACAGGAGACCCTGGGGGGCCCAGGCTAGTAGATTTTGTATGCTCCAGCCGCAAGGAGGGGTGGGAGCACCTTCACGGGCTCCCTAATACTGGAGGGGAGGAACCCCGAGCCTCAGGAGCTGGATCCAGGCAAGCCAGGAGCCACATCCGGCCTCCAGGCCTGACGTTTCTCACCCCTGCTCATGGGCATAAGTGATTTTTCCCACCTGAGTCACAAGAAAAAAAGTTTGAAAACTACTGGTCTAAAAGGCAATATCATACTAAGTCTCTGTGTGTGGATCTTTGTTAAGTACTTACATAGGGAACTTAGCAAGTTATATTTAGGAACTGAAGTATCCCTCCTTCTTACGCCTGCCCAGAGAGATAGAAGATGCCACAAGGCAAACCACCTTGACTTTTTTTATGCTGATCTTTGTTTGCTGGAAATGGAAAAGCACTCTGGTACTCAGACACTCAGCTATGGAAGTTACTGTAAGGAGCAATTTAGCTGACACTGAGAGAACAGGATTCTGCACTGACAAGGAGACCTTGCAAACTGCCAATATAATTTGCATGAGGTCAGTGTTTTGGCTGCCGATGGTTTATACCAGTTTTAGTTCCATTCTGAAAACAAAGCCAAAAACCTTCAGGGGATTAGGACAGGGTTACCTCCTGCAGCATGGACAAAGGAAGAACATTATCTCCCCGCCCTCCACACCCCTGAGTCTGCCTTTCATATTTGGGGCCTTAATTTAAATTAAGTCTTTCCGGGGTTACATTTTGGGAATCTGGGTTAGTGCTTCCGTAAATCCAAACCAGAAATAGCCTGACTTGGATTTGACCCCAGTTCTAAATTCCAACATTTGGGTTTCTCAGTATAAAGGGTCAAAACTAAATCCCAGATAGAAACACTTACACACACACACACACACTGCCGTGTTCCAAAGTGATCTGATTACAGACGAACCGAGAAAAGGGATAACATTTACAGTGGGATCTTGGGCCAACTAGATCTGTTCGCTCAGCTCGGGTGATGGCCACATCCTAAATTATTGCATCCAATGCCTGTTTTAAAAGTCATCAGAGAGCCCTTGCTTACCTTGACCGAGGACATATCCCAGGATGTGACTTCCCAAAGCCGTGCAGGCAAACAAGAAGGAACTGTGAATCAGCATGATGTCCTGTCCCTATTCAGAGAAGAAAAGGTACTTAATATTTAACCACCTCAACAAAACCGGCACTGACTGCATGGACTCATTTGCCTCCCTTGTTGATAAATAGGCAGAAGGGTGCATGCTCCCCTCTCCTGCCTAGCAGTGCTAACTGGATTGAAGGGCTCGCTGACGAGCAATGTAATGAAGTTTGCACTGATGCCATCTGCAAAAGAATATTCAGCCTCCAGGACAGCGGTGGGCAACCTGCAGGCCACATGCGGCCCATCGGGGTTCTATGTGCGGCCCACAAGACATTTTGTTTACCACTGCCCAGGCGCAAGGTTGCCAGATTCTGCTGGCTTCCATCAGCGTAGCTTTTTCCCCCAACCACTATCATTAAAGTGACATGCACATAAAGCAAGGCCATGAAGTGAGGTGCGTGCTGATTGCGCACAACACTGAAGCTATGTCTAGACTGCAGGCTTCTTGGGACATATCTAGACTACGCTAGACTTTTGAAAGAGGATATGCAAATTCCGTGGGAATTTTCATATCTACTTTCGAGCTCATTTTCGAAAGTGAAAGTAATTCAGACGCGGTTCTGTCGGCGAATCCTCCCGTTTGTCGACAAGCCGCTTTTCCTTAAAAAATGAGGTTTATGCCGCAGGAATTTGCATATCCTCTTTCGAAAGTCTAGCATAGTCTAGATACACCCTTGTGAAAGATGCTTTTCCAGAAGAGATCTTCCAATAAAACTTCCTCTGAAAGAGAATGTCCACACTGCCAAAGTGCATCAAAAAGTGATCTGCTTTTTCAAAAGATAGCGTCTACATTACTATGGACGGAACGGCCCCATAGCACTTCTGCTTTTTCCTCTTTCCTCTTCTTTCGAAAGAACTCCCTCTTCCCCGTCCACACACACTTTTTTCCAAAAGAGCTCTTTTGGAAAATGGCTTCTTCCTCGTAGAAAGAGGTTTACCAATGCTGGAAAAATCCCTTCGTTCTTTTGATTTTTTTTCCCGAAAACACAATTGCAGTGTGGATGTAAGTAAGGGTTTTTTTTTAAAAAAACTGCCGTTTTTCCAAAGAAACGCTGTAGTGTAGTCATAGCCTAACTGTGAGAGCCGTGTGCTCCCTTTGCAGCCAATCACAGCACTGGCACAGTTCAGTCATCCCACTCTGCAAATTCTCAGTACACAAGCGCAGGGAGCAAAACTACTCAGGAGGCCATCTTGGTTACGACAATCTTGCAGCCCACTAAGGTGAAGGAGGGTCCACTCATGTGGTCCACTCATTAGCCTAGGTTGTCCCTGGCTGCTCCGGGATCATTACTAGTTTCAACACAACAAACAGAGCAGACTTTGGCCTGTGTTTCTTTAAGTCTGCTTGGTTTCAATGACCAGTATTTTATCCCCTCTCAGCCCTGCGTAGCCAATACAGGTATGGAAAAGCAAGCTGGGTTCTAGTTGGCTGCAGTGTAAGTACCATCAGCAAGTTGCCAATTAAACCTGAAGTCCAGCATTGCCTGGGTGGTTTTAAAATACAATTTTAAAAAAGCATACATGTTCCAATCAGTGCAAAAGTGAAAACACATCTACCACAGAATAACCCAGCCCCTCTGACACACAATATAAGGGATGGGAAAGAACTGAACCAAGTCCGCACTTTATGCCTATAAGAGAAGCATTATTCCATGAGCACTCTTCAAAGCACAGATTGTGTAACCTTGGGATTGTTATAAGAGTGTGACAAAGGAGCAGAAGGGACGCAGCTTTATAACCACACACCTGATATAGCATGTGGCACCACTAGGCCAGAGACGAGGGCCAAGTTAATTCTTGGCATAGCTCCCCTGATGCTACACTGGGGATGCATGCAGGGAGTTGTTTGTTTGGGTTTGTCTCCTGGGCGGGGCTGTAAAGAGGAGAAGTATCTGGTCTAACGTGGAAGGTGTTGCCTGGTTTCAATGCAAGTTCAAACTTTCAACTCACAGCAAAATGGCAGGTGTGGGATTGAGAACCCCGTACAGAGCAAGAGCAACTTTCACAGTGGCAAAATTCAGATCCACATCCAGGTGTGCACGGACCCCTGGCTTCAATCCTGCATGCAGATGTGGTCGCCTCATCTCACAAAAGATACCCTGGCATTGGAAAAAGTTCAGAAAAGGGCAATAAAATGATTAGGGGAATAGAACAGCTTCCATATGAAGAGAGATGAATAAGACTGGGACTTTTCAGCTTAGAAAAAAGATGACTAAGCGGGGGATAGGATAAAGGTCTATAAAATCATGACTGGTATAGAGAAAGTAGAGAAGGAAAAATTATTTACTTGTTCTCATAACACAAGAACTAGGAGTCATCAAGTGAAATTAATAGTTAGCAGATTTAAAACAAAAAAAGTATTTAATAACACAATGGAGACAACTTGCGGAACTCCTTGCCAGAGGATTTTGTACAGACCAGGATTTTAATAGAGTAAAAAAAGAACTAGATAAATTAATAGAGGATAGGTGGCTATTAATGGCTATTAGCCAGGATGGGTAGAAATGGTGTCCCTAGTCTATTTGTCAGAAGCTGGGAATGGGTGACAGGGGATGCATTGCTTGATGATTACCTGTTCTGTTCATTCCCTCTGGGGCACCTGGCATTGGCCACTGTCAGAAGACAGAATACTGGGCTAGATGAACTTTTGGTCTAACCCAGCATGGCCGTTCTTGTGTTCTTATCCTGCACCCTTACTGATGCCGACAGACGAACAGCCCTACATTGCCAGCTCATGGGCCCGTGCTGTAGCCTCTGATCTGGAACTGACTAAAGCCAATGGGAGCTTTTCCTAATGTTGGCAGGTCACTGTTCTGTGGGCTTTATGATTCATCATTCAGAGATGCCTCCTCCCCGGTCTCAAGGCTTGGGATTGGCTCTGGCTGCTACCTGTATTTGCCACTGCTGAATGAGCAAGTATTGTGCTTTGGGGCAAACAGCAATTCAAAAAGCCAGGAGCTGCTATAAAAGCGGCCTAAAATTTCATAAGTGTTGAATCTCCCCCCTGCTCCTGCCTCAGAACACTGTGGAGAACCTGCACACTCAGAGAAGCCAACAGCCATTCTTGGTCCCTAGGCTGGGGGTGAGCTCCCTGCCTCCATGTTTCCAGAAGGGGTGGGGTCAAAGGCAGAAGGGGCGAGGCTGAAGGAAGCTAGCTCTCAGTGCTCCTGGGACCATGGTGCCCCCTCAGCACTGCCTGGAGAGCGCCATGCAGTGCCCCCACCTCCGCAGGCAGCCCTAAATGCTGCCTGGAGCACCGTGGCGGCACTCCAGCGGTGACTTAAAGGGCTCATGGGCCCTTTAATCACCAGGCCCCGGGGCAGTTTCCCTCCTTGCTCTCCCCTTTCGGCAGGCCTGCTAACACTGATGCACATAGAATATTCACTCCCACTCACCAGGGGTACAGTGCAGAGAGATGGGAGCCATCATGGTAGCATATAGGGATTGGTCCCTAATTCTGACACACAGGGCCATCCCCATCAGTGCTGGTGCCCAACGCAGCCCAGCACCGGTATCCCCGCGGGGGACAGGGGTTGCCAACTCTCCCGGGCCGGACTGACCCGACTCCAGTTAAGGCAGTGACAGCCGGTTGGTCCAGTCCAGGAGAGCTGGCAACCTGTAGCATGTCCGGGATGGAGGCATGGGCCGGAGGACTCCGGAGTAGCAGCAGGTGCTGTGCCGCTGGCCGGAGAGAAGCGGCGGTTTCAAGGGGAACATGCAGCTTCGCTCTAGCCACCCACAGCATGGTTGCCCCCAACTCTGAGTCCTCCAGCCCATGAGGGCCACTCGCCGTCGCCTCGTGAGCAGGGGCAGGGCGCTGAGTTCTGGGGGAGAGGGTCAGTCAGGGGCCAGGGGGTTGCCAGACTGGTGCTGAGCTGGAGCAAGGCATGGCTGTGGGTTGGGTTGGTGGGTGGCTCGATGGGCATTGAGCAGAGGCCAGGGGCAGCAGAGGGATGGCGTGGAGGGTAGCTACACACAGAACTGAGGCAGTTGGCCAGGGGCTGGGGGCGGTTGAACCGGCAACGAGCTGGGGGATGGAGCTAAGCGTGGGAAGCCAGGGGATGGGGTTGGAGACGGCCAGAGCCCATACACAGCATGCGGCTGCCCTCAGCCCCCTGAAATGAGAGGCAATTTGGTGCCCCAGATTTTGTGGTGCCCTACACAGCTGCATATTTGGGGTAGGGACAGCCCTGTCTGTACACCACAGTCAGGCCTCTCTCAACAATGCTCTCTGCTTCCTAAGAGGAATGGCAAAGGTAGAGCAAAATGACTCCTCCCTGAGGGTGCTATCGGTTTCAACCACGTCACTGTGGGAGTCGCGTGTGAGCAGTTTGCCTCCATCTGCTTTCCTGCCTGGCCAGGCAGCCTCCTCCTGGCTCCTTCACTTTCTGAGCAAGCCGGGCCTGACAACAAGCAGCTCCTTATGCATCGCCATCTGCCCAGCGAGGCCGTTTTTTTTATTGCTCTTTTGGGGGATGGTTTCCTGGGCACTGTGCCCTGAGACTGCATCTCTGGGGGAGACCAGAGATCTGGCCCAGCAGGACTGGGTGGCAGGGAACCCAGAGAGCAAGAATCATAAAACACTAGGGCTGCGTCTACATCTACGTCTACAGGGCTGCTTTTGCGCAAAATCTTGCCACCTGTCTACACTGGCCGCGAGTTCTTGCGCAAGAACACTGACGTTCCAATGTATAAAATCAGGGCTTCTTGCACAAATACTCTGATGCTCCCGCTCAGAGATAATCCCTCTTGCACAACTGTTCTTGCACAAGAGGCCAGTGTAGACAGGCGACATCAATTTCTTGCGCGAGAAAGCCCGATGTTTAAAATGGCCATCAGAGCTTTCTTGTGCAAGAGAGTGTCTACACTGGCACAGATGCTCTTGTGCAAAAGCACATACCAGTGTAGACGCTCTCTTACTCAAATACTCTAACGCAAAAACTCTTGCGTTAAAGAGTATTTGCGCTAAATCATGCCAGTGTAGACGTAGCC